ATAAATTCTTTACAGTATTAATCTAAAATTCAAATCATCTAATTTAATTACTGAGTTCGAACTAAATTCATCTTAGCTAAATCTAATGATATTTCTAAATCGTTTAAAATATTTGCTAAAATAACTAAACTATAATTAATTTGTTCTAAACTATCTTTAGCTATAAAATATTCATTATGACTAAAACTACCGAATTTTAGATAATCATTGATATCATTCAATTTCTTATTTAATTTACATCATTTTCTCTAATATTAATAATTGTTCTAAAATATTCAATTAACTTATTATTTAATGTCATTTGTTTATTCAATGTTTTTGCATAAATTTCATCGTTAGTTTCCAATATACGTATAGCGTCATCGTATTTTTTGGCATCTTGTGCATCTAAATTCCCTGTAATTTCCTTAATTATGCTACCTAGTCCGTTAATAAGTCCTCTTTTAATTCTTCTAACCGGTCTAATAATATTATATTTATCTTTAATAACATTAATCATAGTATTTGTCAAAGAAATGTATGAATCTAATCTTCTCAAATAATCGTTATGTTTATTATTTAAAATAGATAAAAGTGTATCAAAATCTGTAACCAAATTAGTAATCTGTTGTTTAATCAAATCTGTATTAACATAATGAATAAAAATATGGTATTTTTCGATTAACTTTGCATTTCCTAATTCAAAAGGTAAAATTCCAGTTGTATTTAATTCTTGAAGAAAAATTTGATCACTGTTTGCTGCTAGTACTAGGTGTAATATTATTAGTTGAAACAACAACATCTTGTTCACGTGGGATTTGCTGAGTATTAGTTTTTGGACGTTTGAGTTCTTGTTTGTGTATCGTAATATTCTTGTCAGTAAGAATTGTATTTCCTAGATCTTTCTGTACTTGTATCTGTTTGTAACGTGAAGCGGTTTTGTCTCGCGGGTTTGATTTTAAATATGCACGTGTGTTTTCGTCGCATTGCAAAGGATCATGTCTTGTTTCGTTATGTTTCGATATTGTTTTGTCTTTGTTGCTATAATTCTTTTCAAAAATTTTCTCATACATTAACTTTGTTCGTTGTTTGTGGTCTTCTAAATAATTTGTAAGAATTTCTGTTTCTATGTCTATGTCAAAAGGAGATCTCGTAGAGAGATGACCTGAAATAATGTCAAATGGTTTTAATTTTGTCACTGAATGTATAGAACTATTATAACCGTTAATAGCATAAGGGATAATGTCGAGAATACTAAGATTATTATTTTCGCGTTTGAGAATACGTATATGTTCTAGAATAGTAGAATGAAATCGTTCAATAGGTCCATTTGAATTTGGATGTAAAGGAGTTATGTAGTGGATATTAATTTTATGCATTTTCAAATATTCTTGTAAGGCAGAAGATTTTAGATCAGGACCATTGTCCATCATTAAAGTATCAGGAACACCAAAATGAGAAATAAATAACATTAGAACTCTAATTATATTTTGCGTTATATTAGAAGCAATAGGATATGCTTGCGCATATTTAGAAAATGTATCAATTATTGTGACAAGTTTTTGTTTACTAATTGTAAGAATGTCTAAATGTAAAATTTGAAATGGTTTCGAAGCTGTAGGGGAAATAGAAAATTTTTGTTTTGGTGGATTTCTGTCGTATTTTTCAGTAGAACATAATGTACAATTATTAATATAAGTAGTAATATCATTACGAATTGTTGGCCAATAATATTTTTGTCTAATACGTGATTCGTTCTCGTTAATTCCTCGATGGTTAGAACAATCTTCATGAATTGTTTTTACTATTAATTTTTGTTTATTTACATCAATAATATCTTCTTTAAAATCATTACATATAACTAATTTAAATGCTGAATAAGTGAAAGTAGAAGTTAAAATGTTTGTAATGTCAGCAATATATTCGCTATCGTTGACATACAACGCAAAAGATTTATTACTAGTGGTATATTCTTTAAAATATTTTCATTAATTTATTCTCTATATTATGGTAACAATTGTTATTGCCTACTCTATTTTATTAATTAAACATTTTGTTTGAGTTAATTGGATACCATATGCATTGATACCAATTTCTCTCAATTTGCGATAATAAAACATTCAATTGATATTTATATATGATAAAAATATAATTAATCAAATTTATGTTAAAATGATATTATATATTTTCGCAGCTTAAGCTTGAGCTCAAAATTAACAAGAATTATTATAATTCCATTATCATAATAAATTATGTTTCATAACAATATTGAATATTTATGATTCGAAATATAATATCAAAATGTAATAATAAATGAAATGGATGAATAGCAACGTAATCATGTTCATTGACTTCGTTATCTAATTCATTACGCAGTATTGAAAATTATTTAATTCATTTCTATTAATTAACGTAATATAATAAAATATAATATTTTTAAATTTATTTGAAATACTATTAAAACTAACTAAAATTTGTCAATATTTTTTGTATCGTGAAACCTTAGGCGTGATTCGAGAGTCATCAATTTATTCCTACCGGTGAAAATTAAATGAATCATTTTTTCCTATACTTATAATTTCTGAAATTTGAAATCATATTATGCGATTTATTTGGAGAAACAACATTCGGTGAAAATAATGTATTACATTTAGGCACTATTTGATCTGACTTGTGCTTTACTATGTGACGGTAAATGTTTGGGTATCTATGAAATTTGGAGTGGACAGGTATAGTGGCATTTTTCTCTTCAAAATTTGAGTGGTCTGTCTGTATTAAATTTTCAGTATGTGGGAAATCTACATGTGAATCAGGTTTGTTTGTAGTAAAATTATAAGATTCTGTTTCTAAAGGTTTAGTGTATGTTAAATTAATTTCATTTTCTGTTAGGTTATGAATTTCAACTATGGCTTCATTGTTTTTTGCTAATGTTACGGTATCTGGAATGAAACAATTTGGAAAATTTTGCCTTGTAATTAGAATTTCACCTTCTTTAATGTTAACTGGGACTTTACATTTTTGAATGCATCTTTCTGGTATCTGTTGACTAAAAAGTATTTTTTTGGACTTTTCAAATAATGTAAATTTAAATTAGTATTAGGTAATACTAGCAATTCATTATTAAAATCAATGAGCGCTTTCAATTTTTTTAGATTATCAATTCCTAACAATCCATCGAAAGTTTCGTGAAATTTGAACAGATGGAATGAAAGATTTTCATTATTTTGGAATTCATTGAAGCTTGGGATGTTGCATGCAAAATTTTCTGTGTGGGTTGATAGAGCTGTTTTTATTGTACAGGGGTCAGAATAAATGAAATTTTTTAAATATCTATTAGCAATCTCTGGGCAAATAAATGATTTCGTTGAACCTGAATCAATTAAAATTTTTAGGTCTGGATTTCTTATTTGAATATAAGGAAGAGAATAATTTTGAAAACTGTGAAATTCAACTATGTTTGATTTTGTCGTTGTTCGTCCGTTTGAAAATCCACATGTGGTTCGTCAGAGTATGAATCTTGTTCTGAATCAATGTTTTCTAAATTGTAGAGTCTGTTATGTCGTTGTTTGTTATTTGCGGAATTAATAGTTGATACACCACTCATAGGTGTCCAGTCAGAACCTTTTGTTGTATTGTTCGTTTGATTTGGAAATGGGGAATTTTGTTGGTTAGGTCTTAATGATTGTTGAGTCATTTGATTTGCTTGAAAGTTATTTGATTGGAAGCTATTTGGTTGGAAGTTATTTGTTTGGAAATTATTTGGTTGGGACATTTGTGGAGTATAAAAATGTGGTTGGAAATGATGTTGTCTCTTATAATTTGGAATTGTCGTATTTGAATTTCTAGGAAGTGCAAAATTGGAGCTGTTTTTCTGATAACTTTGTGGATTACTATTTCTTTTACTATTGTATCTAAAGTGGTCTGAGTCATCTCTAACACTACTAACATAGTCGTCCTTTTCTATAATCATTAAAGCTTCTTCTAATGACGAAACGTTACGATTTCTGAGAAGTGAACTGTATGGCTGTTTAACGTGTGCTATGAATACGGCCAAGGCACTTTTTTGGAAGTTGTTGCATCTATCTAGGATGATTTCTTTGTTTGTAAGGTGTAAGTATATATAATTATTATAAATTGTAATCAAATTTTGAAATCTTTCATAGAACTGATAAACGGTTTCATTTGGTAATTGTCTCATATGATGGAGATCAAAAGTTAAAGATATATCATCTCTACGGTCTGAAAATTTTGATATTAGTACCCTAACTATATCATCTATTTCTCTAGCATTGGCAATTTCTATAGCATATTTAGCATTGTCATATAGTTTCGAAAAAACTGCGCTCCTAATAATTTCGTTTTGTATACATGTCGGATTACTACTGTCATGATATCTATTCTTGATTTCCCTAACTCTTGAAATAAATGAATTTAGTTCTGCGGGGTTACCGCCAAAACTTGGAATAGTGTCGATCAATATATGATCAAATTTGGGGATGTTTTGAAGGGACATATTTGCTAATGAGTTTGCTAAGTTCTCTATAAAATCAATACCAATTTCCATAAACTAATTCGCGTACGTGGAATTATGTTTCAATGGAATGCAAAAATAAAATAAACTTGTATATATATTATTTAATCAATTAATTAATTAAGAAAATTTTAAACTGTAAAAATTGCTTTCTTATCTCCAGCGATTGAAGGATAAGGGAGGATGGCAATTTTACTATCAATTAAAATTTTTCACTCACCAGTTCCAGATGTTTCGGCGAATTTCCTCTTCGCACTTTTTCACACAATATATTTTTTTTCACTTGCACTTTTGCACACTATGAATTACAATCACCTTTGAATTGATTGGAAATCCTGCGATAGGCCTTTCCGAATTCAATCCTATTGATTTTTCTATCACTTTTACTAATTATTGGTTCTGAATTCTGAATGATTGAAATCAATGGATATCTGCGATAGACGATCCCGAATTCAATCCTATCGATTCTTCTATCACTTTTACTAATTATTGGTTCTGAATTCTAAATGATTGAAATCAATGGATATCTGCGATAGATGATCCCGAATTCAATCCTACCGACTGCGCCAATTTTATACTCGTTATTCGAGAATAAAATAAAAAAAACTTTATTTCTTAAAATTACAATAAAATATATAAAATAACTGAATTTTACAATATAATGATATAATGAATTATAATTTTATAACTGGACTGGTGTAAATACTGGCAAAGATTATCCTCGTCGAATGTAGAGATCTTGCTACTTATATAGTTAAAAATATGCTTTATCAGCAAGGAGGATCTTGTGGCTAGATATAAGCTATGTCAGCGGGATGGATCCCGTAACTATATACATACTTTAGAAGAACTATTTACCATATCAAAACACCAGATAATAAAATGTCTATCTCATACTTGAGAAGTTTACCATCATGGAAAGGTAGGCTACACACGAAAGATAGGCTCCATAACAACCGTGTAACTCGAAAAACTCACTCTTATATGGAAAAACCGTGCTAAATTTCTATAAAAAAGCTCATTTTGTCAGTTGTTAATATGATGAATGACAAATTCATTGAATAAAAAATGAATATTTATATATTTAAAATTAAACTTAATAAGTATAATAAAGTATCATGCACACATACAATTTAGTTTTGATCATAAAACAGGGAGTTTCCATCTTATCTGCATACTTTTATCATAGGACATAGACTACTTTGTAAGCATTCGAAACTGTTGCATACATTTTGTAGTGCGGTATTTTGACAGTAAAACGATGAAAATGTTATTATCGATATAAGCAAATTATAATTTAGTATTTATAATTTCGTGTAAATGCAAAAGTAATGATTTTTTTTTAAATTAAATTCGTTGTCAAATACCGTGTAAGATCGGTTATAGGTGCATTCATTTTTCCAACGGAAAAGACTGTCCATGAAAGGTTTATAAGCACAAATCGATGTAACATTAATTATTATATTGACGGAACTTGAATCTACAAAAATATTGTCAATTGCTAATTTCATTAATTTTAAACAATGAAGAATAACGTTTAATTAATCATAACATATATTTCATCTAACATTTTTAACTCAGTTGTCTCGTTAAATTAAAATTTGATATTACAGATTTATCCTATATCTGAGAGAAAGAAAAAAAAGTACATTTATATTTGTATTTATCAAAGAGTGAACAATTTATTCAAAAGTGTATATCTACTCAATGCAACTGTCAATTGACGCAGTGTTTAATCTCGTTCAATTTTACTGTACTGGACTCACATTTGAATCCTTCTATAGCTGACGTTACTCAACCTTTTGGCATTAGGAGGTTGAAACGACAATGGCCCTTAGACTTAGTCTTAGATTAGGTCTAATATATCATACTAATTGTAAAACTGAGAAGTTCTCATTGGAGTTCTTCTTAGGCATCACTCATAAATATTGTCATTTTAGCTCATAGGAATCTTTATGTATTTCTGATTGCTAAATAAAACTGAGTTCAAAAAAAAAAAAAAAATTACTGTATAATTGGCTCTTACAAATATTATTTTGTAGATCATCACCAGCTCTCCTACTATTTACGCAACGATCCGGTCTCATATGCATCTGTTTTTGAATTCGCGTGCTCGTTATCAACAATTTACAGTACGCGCCTGAGCGCCGGATTACCGATGTGATATGATGATATATGCCTTTGCAATGTGATATTACATATTACTAGCGCCGATATTATACTAGAAACCGATACTTGGATTTGAATTTAAAGCAGGTGTGTGCATTTCGCACACATTGGTATTTGTTAAAAACCGGTGAAGGTATAAAATTTATAACTGCAACCTGAGGAAGGTCAACAGAAGTGCTGGTGGTCATCCTCGGGATGTTGTGCCAAAGACAGAAGGTGAAGAAGTTAATAAATTAAGCAATACTCCAAAGAGTAGTTAAAAAAAAGAACCTGGATCAAGCTCGTATTGAGAAAAGAGTGGAATGTAACCTTGTCATCGGAGGCAGGTGTTGCGCGAGAAGGTGAAATACAGAAACCACCCAAAGAGGTGACAAGAAGGACTAAGGATAACATTCCCCAACCACCCTTTGGTCACCTATAATGAGAACGCGAACCACTGTATTGTAAAGTTATATATTGTAACATAAAATATATCCATTTATGGTGTTCTCAAAGTTCTTTAAACCACTTATGATTTAGAGGATAGCTGATCCCAAGTCTAATATGTCAATCATCCATGATGATTCCAAGTGACAACTTGAGTTAGAACTCTCAAGATTATCAATTATTGCTTATGTTAAATTGTGCTTATGTTTGAACTCACTCACACAGTAAACATACTCACACACAGTCATACATACACACATAAATAAATTGGCTTTTTAATTGAATTTTTAAAAATTACAATAGGTGTCACTCCATTGAGTGGTCAACTAATCTGGGTGATATATCAAGGGCTGAGTCTGGTCTTTATCTATCTTCGAAATTGATCTATCTTCAAATCAATTGGAACTTTTCTTTTGAGCCTCCTGGATCGGGGTTCTTGAAGAAGATGTTTAACTATTTCATTGGGATAGGATTCCAACTTCTCAAAATGGCGATGACTGGTACTGGTAATTACATCTTTCACAAATGGTATGTTCAAGTCATCATGAATAATTTTGTTACTAACATACCATGGAGCGTTTACGACCTGCCTAAGAATTTTTGATTGAGTTCGTTGAATTGAATCAATGTAAGATTTTCGTGCACATCCCCATAATTCCACACCGTAGGTCCATATCGGCTTTATTATTGTTTTATATATTAGTAGCTTGCTTTCAATAGGTAATTTAGATTTGTTACCTATGAGCCAGTAGAGTTCCTTAGCTCTATTTTTTACTAGAGCTATTTTTGAAAGTACAAGATTATCAATGTGATTTATAAAATGTATTTACATAAAATGTATCGGTGAGTATTTGACTAGTCATGGTTCGTAGTAAGAAAGTGGTCTGAAAAAAAACTGGCTTGATACTCTGGGTTTGATACCCACCTCGACCGGCCTGATACCAAGCAGCAGTGATATCAAAATTTCACTTGTGATTATAAATACAAAACATGATAGCAAGCAGAAATAAACTTTCGGAGACATTTCTGTTATATTTCAAAAATCTAATGAAAAAATTTCATCATATAGATAATGGACTAATCTTGGTTAGAAATTCACATGATACTATATATAGAACATATATAGTTCTGAAAAATGTGTGCATTTATTATGATATATGTAAAACATTTTGTGTTAAATATTTCTTAAACCAAATACCAATTTTGCACTCTTGTTGAATGTTCCGAATCTTCAAATTTAAACATTTAGAACCAATTAAATGCATGATTTAAATTTTTGTCATAATATTTGCTCTACTAAGAATGTGCTCCATACATTGCTTTCTTCAACATCGCGTGTCTTCCGTATATATAATATTTTATGTAAATTATTTTCAGTTTGATTTTACGACGAGCTGCTCTGAATATTTTGCTTTGTGTTAATAATATTTCGCGTGCTTTTTGCAATCAAGCGAAAGGTTAAGAAACACATCATGTAGGTAAATCAAGTTTTGATAAAACGTAAATTGTGTTTGACTGTGCACATTCCCTTAACATGAAGGTTTTGGCTTGATGAATACACATTACATATAAGGTGTTATCAGATGTTGAATACTACATGCACTATCGTTGAATCATGTATAAAATATTAACATAAAAATAGCTTAAGAAATGGAAGATTAAGCAATAAATCAGTGAATTTTAACGCAATTCACATCGAATAATTCATAAAAGCTTTGTAACACTTTCTTATTACATATTCACTCTATTTAGACACTAAATTATCAAAGTTACAGTATGGCTTTGTGTATAAAAACATTTACAAAATTAATTATGGGTCAAATTATTTAACTCAATTTCCAGAT